TGTCGCGTCATGATGATGGACTGGTCGTCCAGCCTCTATTGGACCAGTTTCAAGGTTCAGGGTTAGGTAGGGTTTGACTACTCTGACCTAAGTCATGGGTTCGTTCGCAAGGGGGTGCTCGATACCCTTCGGCGTAGTATACGGCAACACGACACGGTCGCCCCGGTGATATCGTGGGTACCCTCGCAGCCTGCTAAGGGCCAGGTCATGGGTTCGAGTCCCGCCAGCGTGAGTTTTTTCTCACTAAATACATCCTGGTCTAGGATGAAAGCGACGCGCTGCAAAGCTGGTTAGTAGCAAACCATAATCGACTTCGTAAGTCGCGAGGGAAGGGATTGCTGTACCCTTCTCGCAATAGAAATATCTCAGGCATGAACCGCAGGAGGGGGTCCAACCCCCCCCTCCTGTGTGACCCCGGTTGGGTCGTCTAGCTAGTAGAAGTGGAGGATAGGGGCCAGAGGGGCAGACGACAGAGTCCAATGATGGGAGAAAAAAAAAAAAATGTGTTGTGTTTGTGCGTGCCTGCCACCTCCTATTTCAGCCATTCGCCCCCCTTTTTTTTAGGCGTGTGGCAAATTGTATGTTCGTCTGACCGTCCTTGAGCTGCCTTTTTTTTCGAAACAAGCGGCTGGATTGAACTTGGTTTGCTCCTTGCCGACGGTTTCATCCCTGCCGATGACGGCGAACAACGAGGGCAGTGCAGGCGACGAGCCGAACGCATGCAATCTTAAGGCATGCCCGCGCATAGCGACATCCGACGGCTGGGGATCCGAACTAACTCAACGATGAATATTGCAAATCTGGGCTTCGTCAATCTCTTTCTGTCTGTCTGTCTGTCTGTCTGTCTGTCTGTCTGTCTGTCTGTCTGTCTGTCTGTCTGTCTGTCTGTCTGTCTGTCTGTCTGTCTATCTGTCTGTTTGTTTGTCTGTTTGTCTGTCTCTGTCTCTGTCTCTGTCTCTGTCTGTCTCTATGAACTTAGCATTCCTTTGCCTTCTATTACCTTGCACGCAATTGACAAAACGCTGCCTCCACAAGACGAGGAAAGGCGGTAGACTCGGCCTCCTTCATCGAGTTCCCCTCCTCCTCAAAGTACATCGCTTTGCGTCCTGTCCCCCCCTTCCCTCCCACTTGCCGTAGACGAACGGGGACAAAACAGGAACGCCCGTGGTCAGTCACGCGGCGGCGTCTGGAGCGGGGGAGGGGGAGGGGTCAGCGGCGGCGGAGAAGGAGGACGAGGGGGAGGCTGTTGCGGCGGTGTCGGTAGCGGCGGAGAAGGAGAGAGACAGTTTGTTCAGGATGCCGCACTGTGACGGGGCGACGCCGCCGTGGCCCANGGGGGGGGGGGGGGGGGGGGGGGGGGGGGGGGGGGGGGGGGGGGGGGGGGGGGGGGGGGGGGGGGGGGGGGTGCCGCCTGCCCACGTTTAAGCACAAGTTCCCCCCCCAAGAAAGCGTGTCAGGTTGCAAGCGCGTCAGGTTGCATCTTGCGGCAGCACCAGTACCACGCGGGAATGGGTAAACACAACGGCAAAAATCCCGCAAACAAGCGTCAGGTTGAATGCACCACGGGAAGTCACGCGGCAGGAGTGGGAGGGGGTAAAAAGGGGGAACATTTGCGGGTTGTATCTGCGGTGGGGATGCGGTGGATGGAGGAGGGTACACCGGATGGAGTGTTTTGTCAGGGCGCGGTATGCCTGGTTGTCCTTGGCGTGCAAGCAGTGGATCGATTGACTGCGTGCGTGTTTCGTGTGCGCGTTTTTTGTGTACCATGTGCAGTGCAGGTTGAATGGCTTGGCCGCGTCACTTGGTCTAACTCTTTCCGGACCTACGTACGCATGTTTTTTTGTTTTTTGTTTTGGCTTGTGCTGTCGTTGGCGTGATACTTGTCTCGCTCTTGCTTGTGGGCAGCAGCGGTTGAGTCTGTCGTCGGCTCTGACCTGGGTCACATTCCCCGCTTTGCACACCTGACTGTATGTCCCTCTCACACACGCAAAGTAGCTCCTCCTCACCGTCTAGGTGTTCTGTAGCCCCGTAACGTCTTTCCGTCCGCGCACATTTGTTTTTGGCATTGATCCCCCCCCGCGACCCCCTCCGGCCCGCTCTGGCCCTAGCTGAACTTCTGCCCCAGCGTGTTCACCCTGGAGCCGGGGGAGTTCGTGCATATCAACAAGGGGCGTCTTCACGCCTTCCGGAAGGAGCATCCCCTGCCGCACGCGAGTGTCTACTGTAGTAGCGCCGTTTTTTAGGCGTGTGATTGTAGCGTGTCGGAAATGTTGGACTCTAAGTACATGATAGCCCCCTTGTAAAGCGAAGTGATTCTTGATCCTGTCGGTTTTGTGAGGGTGGGCGGGTTGTGAGCGGCTTTGATGTATGCAGCAGTAGGTTTTCCCGACAACCAAGACCGGGATTTCCACGACCGGGTGACCCCGTAAATCCCCCCCTCCGATAACAGTCTCGACCACATCCCTTGACGCCTTTCGCCATATGTTTCGGCAGGGGGACGATCCCGGCTCCGTGTGTGTTTCCCTCGCTTGGGACTGGGTTGNCCCCCCCCCGATAATAGTTTCGACCGTTTCCTTCGCCGCATTTTCGCCGCATTCTTGTTGATATGACAGGAGGACCCCGGCTCCGTGTGCGTGTCCGTGGCCTGGGATTGGGTGTACAAGGGGGTCTCACAAGAGGGGTGCAGGGGGGAGATGGCCTGCGCGCTACGGTCCGCGAGCGACAACCGGGGGGTTGGGGTCGTGTCCCTTGCTCCCGTCGAAACATGCCTCGTGCAGGTGCGTGGGATTTAAGTATTCGACTTGCTGTTGCGATCTTGTTCGATTGTTGTTTTTTTTTTTTTCTAGTTTCGTTTTATTCCATGCGTTCGAAGCAGTTGTTTTGTTGTACGTCATCTGGCCGCGAGATCGTCATGGCTGCCGTACGCCGGACTTTTCACAAGAGATAAAATACATAGAGGTAGGGTATTACTCGCTCGAGCTCAAGCTCGACGCCTGACAGCACAGCGGGGCAATTAGCCCCCCTCTAAACTCGAGACGAAAAACTCACGGGCCCCGCCAGCCCGCCCCCAGGCACCCATTGACCTCCCTCTTCGCGGAGCCCCCGGGACGCCCGCTCTCCGCAAGACCGCGCCGTCGCGGGGTCAGGGCACGCCGTGCATGGCGAGCTGCCCGTACGGGCAAAGACGGAGGAACCGTTCGCACCTGCATCTGTCTGCGCTGTTCTGTCACGATTAAGATTCGCGACGCGGATTGGACGAGACACCGCGGTGTGTTCCGCTCCGAACCAATATCTTTGTGGACTTATATTTCGTGTCGGAGTTTGTTGCATAGAGCGGTTGATGTTGCTGAGCTGGGTGTCTTCCATCCAGTGTTGCATGAACCGCAAATATATGCTTGCTGTGCGTAATCTTCATTCCACGCACCACATGCATCCCCACACTGCTGCCACCGACGCGAAGCAGAGCGATTATATCACGACAGACATATGTATATGTGTGGCGTTTCGGAGTTTTTGCGTAAAGATGTATGTGGTTCGGTGGAATTACATTTTATGTGTTGTGTCGTGTCACATCAATTTTCATTGGACAATCAAAGTATGTGTGGTGTTTCGGAGTTTTTGAGCGAATATATATGTAATTCGGTGGAATTATGGTCTGTGTGTTGTGTCGTGTCACATCAATTTTCGTTGGACAATCGAATTTGCACCCACTCTGGAAATTCACGTAATCATGGAACGAGCACAAAGCGAAGTCGTCCACGCACCACGCGCGCTTGCCCACCCTCGTCACAACCGAAACCAACCACGAAGAGATAATAATGAATGAACGCTCTCTCGAAGGCATCGCCTCTGAAACGCAAACAAGCCGGAGAATCAACGTCACTCGTCAAGCCCCGTCCCCTACTGTCACTGGGAGTAGCATGCTGGCCCTGCCCGGACCGCGAAAACCGCCGCCACGGCCTGCTCCGCTCCACTTCTGTCCTGCGGTAAACTACGCAACCACATCCTGACCAACTCAAAAATGTCCCACTTGGCATGCGTTTTGCGCTTACTTTACTTGTACCTCACATCACGTTTCGCTCTCCGCGAAGGGCGGCGGAGCAAACGAAGGACGGGGGTGGGCGGTAGCCCCCCGCGTCCGAGTCTTTGTATATAGTATAGGAGTATATTTTTTCTGGAGGCGCTTAGTGGTGGTGGCACCCCGCCAACGTAACGTCGAAAGGCACAGCCGTTGGCGGATTGACCGATCTTTCGTTGGCAGCTGATGCTGTGGTGTACTCCAGCAGGCACGGGGTCGGGCAGCACTTGATTCGCCGGTTACGAAAGGCCTTGCGTATTGACGATTATGTGGAGACGATGCACACACAGCAGCGCGCCGGTGGGGGGGGGGTCGGACCCAGCCGTATTCTCCGTTTCTGTTGGGCGTGGAGGTATTTGGAAATTGCGTACCACGACTGTATCTCTCAACCACACTCTGCGGCATGCCTTCTCCTGCCCCTGTATTTTGGTTCTCACAGGTGGCGAAAGCCTCGCTCGCGAGCTTCCGCGTGCGCTCATCGGGCCAAGACCCCGGTCGCGCGTCGCGCCAGGTTCCGGGCTCCTCGGCACCCACCCCGCAACCACCACCCTTGTCGGGGAAAAAAAGAAAAGCGGCAGAAGCAGCGGCTCCTACGGGAGGGGAGGAAGAGGAAACGACCGGTGATGAGTTGGCGGGGTCGACGTCGGCGACGGCCGCCGCTGCCACTGCTGTAGGGGGTGCTGTAGGGGATGCTAAGAGTTGCGGTTTGTCGTCAGCATCATCGTCGTCGTCCCGGGCGGACAACGGAGCCGTCGCCCCCGCCTCCGTCGCTGCTTCGGCCGTAGTCCCGGATGGGTGTTCTTCTTCCGCGTGCCCCCCCCCCCCCCCCCCCCCCCCCCCCCCCCCCCCCCCCCC